GATGGATGGATGGATGAAGGGATGAATGGAAGGAAGGAAGGAAGGATGGATGGATGGATGGACAGATGGATTGATGAAGGGATGGATGGGTGAATAGATGGAATGATGGATAGATGGATGGATGGATGGCTGGATGGATGAGGGGATGGATGATGGATGGATGGATGGATGGATGGATGGATGGATGGATGGATGTCTTAAAGCTCAAAGTCATTTGTGCTACTATTCACACTGGCTGCAATTTGTGAGCTTGGAAAACCTGTCCTTTTTTCCAGCCTGAGGTAAGATCCGATTCTTCACAAGGCTGTTTCACTACTGACATGTTTTCATCAGATACGTTTGCATGTTCATTAACTCATGTAAACATTATTAAAAGGACTACATAAACAGCTTCCTACATGTTTCCTCTTGCTTTCATTCAGGTATAATTATATGAAAACACAATGTACCATATGTGTCAATGGACCATCCCCTTTCTTGTGCTTCCAAATGACAATTCCCCTCTGCAAACACACTCAGGTACAGGTCTTTACATTTCTCCTTCTACTCCAAATCCAATCTGCCTTTTTAAGACAAAGATCTCAAAGCCCCTGCCCAATGATATGGGAGCCAACAATGTCCATTCTCACCCTAATATGGTCTAGGAACTCATTCTTACCTTTAAAAGTGCCTTGCAAATTGTAAAAGGGTATTCAAAAATGGTTATTTCTTCCTTCACTGTCCCCTTGTCACAACTATTCAAATAGTCATAAACATTCAATGCTGCCAAACGTGATGGTCATTTCCAATCCTCTTCACCCTACCCAAGTCCAACATGTCACCCCTCCAGTTCTCACTATGTCCCCTCACACAGGAAACAGTCAGAAACAGGCACAAGTATCCCCATAGCTGCAGAGGAATCAGTATGCTGAAGGTCACTGAAAGTGACTGGCCAGCAGCCTCTAAATCATTTTTATTTTCTTCCTGGCGTACTACTTGTCTAGATCTTCCAGCCTCCCTTGCAGTTAGGTGTGGCCATGTGACCGAGTTCTAACACAGTGGTTTTCAACCAGGATAATTTTGCCTCCCAGGGGACATCTAGCAATGTCTGGAGAGGAGGCATCTGTGGTTGTCACAACTGGAAGAGAGAGGAGAGTTCTATGGGAAGCTACTGAGTCTCTGAGGCCAGAGAGCATCCTGCTGAACATTCCACAATGCACAGGACAGCCCCTCACAACAATAAACACCATTCACAGGCTTTGTGGCTTTGTTCTAACCCTGGTTAGCCTTTGGCCAGCTCAAACGCCCATGGTGCCAAAACCCTACACTCACCCGGTACTAATAGTTGAGAAACCCAGTTCTAACCAATGGAATGTGAGCTAACGTGTTGGAGCCAATTCCATGCCTGATCCATAAAAACCAGTCAAGTGCAGTTCTCCAAGCTCTTTCCTCTTCCTTAGTCTTGGTGGAGATGATCCCAGGCACCTTGGAAGCCACACACTGAATACAACGAGGCCACAAAAATGGGAAGAGCTTGCATCTGTCACTGCTTGAATGAGAGCTATCTGCCCATCAATAGCACACATTTTACACTAAGAAATAAACTAGCATGTTAGAGATCTGGATTTGTTCAAGATACCAGCTGGCATTAGCTAACTCAGTCACAAATACTTTTGCTTGTTTTCTTGAATAGATTCTCCAATGTATGGAGCTACACTTGAGTCAACATCACCTGGGGGACATCTAGATTGGCCAGTCCTATTTCAAGTGGGAGAGGGACCTCCAGGGTACATGTATCTGGAAATCAATTTATAACTGATATAACGAGCTGGCTTATGCAGAGACACAGGAGGGGTCTGTGGGCCCACTTAAGTCTCTGAGGAACTTCTGAAATCAGGACTCTTTACATAAGCTCTCTACAGTTCGCCTCTGGCCATTCCAGTCCTATAGGACTTCAAATTTGAATCTCTGTACTCTACATTCTGCAAGTTTAGTCGAATATATCTTCTCTTGCCCAGTTATCTTAACCAGTCAGAGCTTAGTAAAAATAAATGCAAGTTCCTATTTCTTTACAGATTTACTATATTTGTCATAAGGAGTTTTTGCAATTGTAGTGATCATTTACTGAGGAGGTTGCTAAATTTAGCAGATAAAATATAAGGACATACTCATACTAAAAAAAAAAAAATTATTCTATTCATTGTCCAGCCAAAACTTAAATTTAAATAGGTTTCCTGCATTTTATCTGGCAACCGTATTTACTGAGCATTTATATTTTTTCAGGTACAATGTCTGAAATACACTCAAATCCTCAAAATAACACTGAGGGTAGCACCACTATCATCTCCATTTTCAAATGGGGCAACAGAATGCAAAAGGCTATGTTCTCTACCTGGGTCATAGCCCACCTGCCATTGGCAGTGCTGGGATCCCAAAGTAGCCAACACATGGCCTCTTCTGGCCTGGTCCAGTGCTCAGAGGCGTGCCCACAGGCAGGATGTGCTCAAGGAATGCTCCCTATTTCACCACCATTCCTTTAAAACCTACAGAAAGCATAGTCTATTTTTCTAATGGGCAATCATCAAAATATAGTAGCTGTAAGGGAACCTGAAGCTGTGGTGAGGATGGTTAAGAATATTTTATTTAAAACTTTCATGTTTTGGAACTATTGTAAAATATCCATAGTAAATATTTCCTTTTTTAAAGCTTGCATTTCTCTCAGAGATAAATGGATGTGATCCAGTTTCAGAAAGTCTTAGGAGGTGACTCGGTGCAAACATCAGGGGCACAGACGTTGAAGTCAGATGGGAGTGGGCTTAGATTCTGGTTCCGCCATCTCCTGGCCGTCCTGACGTGGGCAGGTTACCTGGGCACCCTTCCCACTGGCAGTTTGATGGCCTGCAAGATATGAAAGCAGCAGTCTCCGTCTGAGGGCTTTGTAAGGGCTTAGTGCAGAAGCAGGTGAGGGAGCGTTACCCACCCTTTACATATGGGAACCTGGGGCTCACAGTGACTCACCCCAGGACACGCCGCAAACTAGGGGTGCAGGTGCTCCCAGAGAAGAAAGAAACAACGGGCTGGGTGGGAACCAAGAGCTCAGGCTCAGGGAGGGACAGACTGGGGGAGCCCTCAGCCTCACCCCCCAGGCCCCAACATGCACCCCACCCCTGTAACAGCAGCAACCAAAGAACCTCATCTCACTTTATTGCAAGGATTTCCTTCTTCTGCATTTCTTTAGTGGCTCCTCCCAGGGAATTCAGGACTCATGACTTGAACCAGCAGGACTCGATGAACTGTAACTGCAGCCACCCACTCCTGACTGCTTTCTCGGGATCAGAAATGGCCACACTGGGATTGTGTCACTGGGCAACACCATCCCAGGAGTCCCTGCACCTTAAATCAAAAAGACAATGGGAGAAAGAGCCTGATCCTAACCTGGAAGCATGATCATCACTCCACACTCAAATTCTTTACATTGTTTTTTTTTTTTTTTAATGTTGAAATCACTTTAAAATCTTGATAAAGAGAAATGACGCCTCTGAGATGTTTCTGTGACACTGTTTCTGCAGTGTCTGGAGGTACCAGATGCTCTCACTGCCTTTCCGGGAAACCGTGCGGCCCACAGGCAGCCACCTCTCACCAGTGAGGCTTCCTTGTGTCTCCAGGGCCCCTGAGCTGGTAGCCATTCATCATACTTGGTTTTGATTCAAAACATACAGTCATCGCATAGGGTTATAAATTCTATATCTTGGGGGATAGCTGGTAGGAGTTCTTATCAGTTAAAAAAAAATTCTGAGAATATACTAGACATATGACAAATAAAACCTGTATTTCTTTTAAAATTCAGGCACTTTAGGCGGGGTGCAGTGATGCCTGTAATCCCAGCACTTTGGGAGGCTGAGACAGGCAGATGACTTGACCCCAGCAGTTCAAGACCAGCTGGATAACATGGTGAAAATCCATCTCTACAAAAAAATACAAAAATTAGCCAGGTGCAGTGGCTCACATGTGTAATCCCAACACTTTGGGAGACCAAGGCAGGAGGACCACTTGAGTTCAGGAGTTTAAGACCAGCCAAGGCAACATGACGAAACCTCATCTCTAAAAAATACAAAAATTAGCCAGGCACAGTGGCATGTGCCTATAGTCCCAGCTACTCGGGGAACTAAGGCAGCAGAACTGCTTAAGTCCAGGAGGTAGAGGTTGCAGTGAGCTATTGCACCACTGCACTCCAGCCTGGGTGACAGGAGTGAAACTCTGTCTCAAAAAACAAAAAATAGCTGGGTGCAGTGACACATGCCTGTAGTCCCAGCTACTTGGGAGGCTGAGGTGGGAGGACTGCTTGAGCCCAAAAGGTTGAGGCTGCAGTGAGCCGTGATCATGCCACTGTACTCCAGCCTGGGCAACAGAGTGAGACACTGTCTCAAAAAAAAAAAAAAAAGAAAAGAAAAAAAAAGGCAGGTTTGTTGGATGTAGGGATATTTTTATGCATTATAAATCATGTTGTTATAAAACTTTCAGGAAAAACACACAAATAAATTATCAATGATTACAACTACAATGAATGCACAAGATTGTACCTAGAAACTCTATACCCCCAATTCCTCTTTTGGGGGCCACTTTATGAAACAAATCACCCCCAAACGTACTGGCTTACGACAATGAGTTACTCTGCAGTCCCACTGGCCAGGCTCCAGTGGGCAGCCTCACTCACGATGTCTTGTGTGCATGGTCAGTTGGTGGTTGGGGCTGATGTCATCTTACCGGGCTGGATATCCATGGGGTCCTCCTTTACTCCTAGCCAGGTGCTCAGCTGGGATGACTGAGGCTGGCCCCTTTTTTAGCCCTTTCCATGTGGCCTCTTCATGCCACCAGCTTGGACTTTCTCACTACATGGTGATCTCAGAGATGTCTGCATTTGTTACATGGTGACTGTAAGAGAGATGCCAAGAAACCAAAACCTTTTAGACCATAACCATCCCACTACAACCAAACACCAGAGAAAAGACTGTGGCTCCAACTCTAACCCCATCAGCAAAGAGGAGTGGAAAGCTAGACAGACCCCCCCAGCCTGCTGCAGGAGACGCCAACCTGAACAACATGATGGTGTCAGAGAAGGAACGGCGGGGAGCAGACAGTCATCCCTGCAGGACAGCAACAAGCTCTCTCAACAGAGCATCAGCAGAGGCCACCTGGGAGCCTGAACACCTACACTACCCACCCCATCCACCACCCAGGGGATAATCTGCACTGCCCTCTCCCCACTGGGGTTGTCAAGGTTGAGTAAGAACTTGGACATTCGTCACCTTCCAGTGGTAAGATGCCTCCACCCCACAGTGTCAGTGGAGGCCACGTGAGGAGCACCTCCTCCCAAGCCAGGGTGGTGGCAGCAGAGGCCACTGTAATAGAAGATTTAAATAAGCTCTAGATCATAGCATAACCCCCAAAACGCCCATGTTTCAAGAAAAAAGAAAAAATCATTCATCATTCCAAGAACCAAGAAAAGCTCAACTTGAACGAGATAAGACAATCAACGGTTGCCAACACTAAGGTGACACAGATGTTGGAATAATCTGACAAAGACTCTGCAGGGGCCATCAGAAAAATCCTCTAACAGGTGATTACGAACAGGCAAAAAAAACGTGAAAAATAGAAAACTCAGCAAAGAAGCAGAAAATGTAAAGAAGAATGAAAGGGAAATTTTAAAACTGAAAAATACAGTAACCAAAGCAAAAACTCATTGAATGGACTCAAAAGCACAGTGGAGAGGGACAGAGGAAACCATCTGTGAACCCGAAGATAGAATAACAGAAATTGCCCAACTGAACAACAGAGAGAAAACAGATTTTTAAATAATATATTAATACAGCCTCAGGGACCTCTGGGGTTATAACAAAAGATCTAATATCAGTGTCATTGGAGTTCTGGAAAGGGAAGAGAAAGAGGGCAGGGCTGAAAAAGTATGTGAAGAAATAATGGGTGAAAATTTCCCAAGTTTGGCAAAAGCAGCCGAGAGAACCTCAAACAGAATAAACCTGAAGAAATCCATGCCAAGATAGATTACAGGCAAACTTCCAAAAATGAAAGACAAATAAATCAAGGAGAGAGAAAACACACCTTACTTACATTGGGGAAAAAGCAATTCAAATAACAGCAGATTTCATAAGAGAAATCAGATTTCATCATGAGAAATCTTGACAGAAGGAAGAAAGCACCACAGTATATCAGGTGCTAAAAGGAAAAAACGCTGTCAACCCCAAATTCTATATCCCGCAGAAATACTCTGCAGGACTGAAGAACAAGACTTCAGATGCAGGAAAACTAAGGGAACATGTCACCAACACACCTACTCTAAAAGACTGCCCAAAAAATGCTCTTGAAACAGAAGAAATTAATCAAAGAGAGAATAATGGAACATCAGGAAGGAAAAAACAACAAATGAAAAAGAGAAAATGTGGGTAAGTATAACATATTTTCCTTCTCTTGAATTTCTAGAAACAAGTGTACAGTTCCTTAAAGCTGGGGTCCCCAATACCCCAGGCAGTGAGCTGGTTGGTACTTGTCCGTGGCCTGTTAGGAATCCCAGGCAGAGCAGGAGGTGAGCAGTGAATGAGCATTACTCTCTGAGCTCCGCCTCCTGTCACATCAGCCACAGTATTAGTTCTCATAGGAGCGCAAACCCTACTGTGAACTGCACATGCCAGGGATCTAGGTTGTGGGCTCCTTAGGAGAATCTAATGCCTGATGATCTGAAGTGGAAGGGTTTCACCCTGAAACTATACCCCCAGTACCCATCACCCATCTCCCAGCCCCACTCCGTCAACCCTCCCAACCCCTCATTGAAAAAATGGTCTTCCACTAAACTGGTTCCTGCCTTAAAGGGTCCAAGTAGGCTTAAAGGGTCCAAGTAGGCTCATTCTCACCCAGCAGTCTGCCTGTTGCAGGACTCATTTATGAGGCCAATTATTTATCCAGGGCTCATTTAAGAGGCCAATTACTCGTCTGAAGCTTCTCAGATTGTGGTCACCGCACCACCAGCATCAGCATCTCCTTGCCATGCTTGCTTAAAATGCTGTATCGTGGGCTGCTCACCAAACCTACTGAACCAGAATTTATACAGGTGGTCACAGAACCCTGGGTGTAAACATGGGCTTCTTACATACACTAAGGTTTGAAAAGTCCTAAGATGTCAGTTGACCTTTAGTTAACAAAGGGTCAAACTCAGTCACTCAGTGTTAACTTATGAGAAAAATGAGAACAAACTGTTTTCACAGATTCCTGGCTCTTAGCAATCCAGTCGTCCAAGACTGGAATACATTTCAAGGTTAAAAGAGTAATCAATGCCCCACCTGGAGTCAAGGTTACACACCCATGCACGATGGCAGGTTGTCCCAGAAGTGTTGGCTGGAGTCTAGGCCACCACAGAGTCGTCTGTCATTCATGTGTGCCTGCGTTTCTTACTCTCTGAAACGGGGGCAGTCTTTCCAAACTCGGGGTCAAGGCGAACAGCAAAAGAGGTGTGCCGTGCACAGGCGTGTAAAAGATTAGCTTTTACCTAAAGTGCATGTTTACGCTCTCCTTAAAGAGGGCCGTCGTATCGCCCTTTTTTCTTTGAAATGTAACGTCTGTCTCTGTATTCTTCACACAGAATCCTAGAAAACCAGGCATGATAGTTAAAATTAAATGTACGCCTTAATTTACCCAGCCTTTTCTGCAGAGTACTGATGAAGGGTAGTCCCTGGTGTCAGCGGAGGCAGGAAGACGCGGGGAAGAGCCCAGGACCCACCACAGAGCTAACCAGGGCGATGTGCGCTCCACCAGCTAGAGCGCAAATCCTTCGCCCTATGCCTAGGACTGCCCCTCCAGGAACGCCTCCAAGTCCCCTCCGCCCACGATGTCTCTCCACGTTCCCTCCTGGAGATGCAGCCTTAGGTCCTGCCCCTCCCGCAGAATGGTTCAGGGTGACGCGCAGCTAGAGTGTTGCAGGACCCGCGCACGCACTCCCTCTAACTAGAGAGGAGAAGTCTGCAAACTGTCATTATTAAAAGGAGAAGGCTGAATCTGGGAGTAAACGCCTTAAAGATGCGGCAACGGGAAGAAGGAGTTCAAACTATTGAAACATTTGTCCACCAGCCAATTCGTGCTGGCGCCGCCTGGGTGATACCAGTGCCCGGGAGATGGGTTCGCCTGCCTCCCTGGCCGAGAAAGGGCTGTGCCCCAAAGCCCTGTCCTGTGCCCATGACAAGTGCGTCCCGGCCAGGCCCTAGCCCTTCCCAGGGACCGTGACAGGGCTCGCAAGGCGCAGCAGGGTGGCTGCCCCAGCTGGGAGCGCACGTGGTGCGAGGCAGGCGGGTTCCTCCTCACTGAAGTCATGGACTTGGCTCGCTGCGGAGGGGCCGGCGCGCGAACGTCGCTTGAGCCAAAAAAGAAAAAGTGCACACAATGTGTTTCTTGTTAGGGTCTGCAAGCCGGGCCTCGGGTTTTGCTTTTGGTGCCGCATTATAATATTAAGATGCAGTTTGATTCCGGACAAGCCCGCCCTTGCCGCTGGCTGGGGTGGATTCCCACGGCTGCTGGTGGGCAGAGGGGTGCGGCCTGGGTGCTGCGCTGTGGCGCGGAGGCGCACAGCGGATGGAGGGGGGTCCCTACATGACCTAGGCTCCCTGCGGTGGCCGGACCCCAAGACTCGCGCCTCAGGGCGGCGCAGACTCGGCGACGCCAGCGCTGCTCCCGCCAGCTCGCAGGCGGCCCAAGATTGTTTTCCAAGACCTTATCTCTCGCTCAAGTTAATTTTCTTTTTTAATGTGGGGACCGGAATAAAAGACACAGGAAAATCCTTTGTGAAAACTAAACGCAGCCACAAATCGGGGCACTTCACAGCACTTGTAACAAAATATTTGCAGTGCCCGTAGTTAAATCGGCCCCTCCGCCAAACTTCCCAAACTTTGCTTTCTTTGAACCAAGCTGAAAAGTGATTTCCCTAAAAGGGGATCAGAAGTTTGCAAGCAATTGGATTTAGCACGGAGTTCTACCTGGTGCTCTAGAGAGCTCTGGGCACACAGGACGGTGCGGGAATCCTGGAAGGAATTACGGCCCGAAGGGTGGCAGGGCAGGGGAGGAGCCACTGTTAAGCCGTGGTAGTCGTTGAAACGCTTTGTTAATGCCGTTTATTAGCTGTGTGCGACAAGAAGTTTAAGAGGTTAGGCAGGTCTTCAAAAATATCCAAAAAGAGAAAAATAAACATTCCCTCGTTTGCTTTTTGTGGCTTTGCTCATTTTCTTCCCCTGGAGTGGCCCTTCATCTAAGCCTGTTTTAAACCCAAAATCGGTTATCTGGTTTCAGGGTAAGGGCTCCCTCTTGCCAAGGTATTAAATAAACAAGTAAAGCAAAAACTTGAATCCTTATGTAATCCAGATGCCGTTTCCTCGAAAACCACAACAAATGCTGCTAAACCAGATAACAGGACCGGGAACATTCGGCCCCCCAACCCCCACCCCACAACACACAGACTCCGCCCCCAGCTTGAGAGCCAGCAGAGGACATTTATGTTCAGGAACTCCTCTCCAAGGCAGACGATAAATAATTGCTACTAACACTCTCAACTGCAGATGAGCACCCTTGAGGGATCCGGATGCCATAAACTGTCCGGGAATGTTGGCATCTGGTTCTTAAAGCCAGGACCCAGGAGGCGTCTGCGTCTGCAAGCTGACTTGGAAGTTTCTGGCCTCTTGATGTTCTCAGTCGAAAATGGTGCATTAGAAAGGGGATTGGTCTGGCCCGCGCTTTGTAGTGGTAATGAGGGCGCGAATCGCGCTAGGCTCTGCGCGCGCGAGGCTCCGCTGAGGACGAGGGCTGGGGCTGCACATCTTCCCGGCTCCCCCAGGGCAGAGAAAGGGACTGTTCTGGAAAAAAAAAAAAATAATGGTTTACGC